GACGCCCAATGGGCCGACCGGCCCCTCAATTACCACACCTGGGTCTACACTCCTTGCGGGATATGGGTCGCAGTTCATTGATGGGACCGTAGTGGAAAAAAGATCGATTACACGGGTCAATTCACAAAACTGGAGCCAGCAAAATGAGTCTCCGGACAAAAAACAAATGTCAACCATAGGTCTTGCAGACTGAAACCAGAAACGCACCCATGTTCCCCGCGAGGCCCTGGCAAAAGCGGCGCAGTGGGCGCCGCGGCTCTCAAGGCAGCCACTTGCATCCAGTCAATGCGGCAAAACCTCACGGCACCAACCATGCTGCCCCCCAAACACACCAATCACCAATCTGTCAAATGTTGTTGTCCCCAACAACATTGCGTGTGTGCGTGTGTGTGCGTGTGTGCGTGCGTGCGTGCATGCGTGCGTGCGTGTGTGTGCGTGTAGGCGTGCGTGCGTGCCTGGGCGTGTACGTCTGTGCGTGTGTGCGTGTGTGGGTGCGTGCGTGGGTGCGTGCGTGCGTGCTCGCGTCCGTGCGTCCGTGCGTGTGTGTGCGCGTCCGTGCGTGTGCGCGTGTGTGCGTGCGTGCGTGCGGGCGTCCGTGCGGGCGTGCGCGGGCAGGCGTTTGTGCGAGAGTGCGTGCGTTCGTGCGTGCGCGCTGGCGTGCAGGCGGGCGTGCGGGCGTGCGTGCGTCTGTGCGTGCGTGCGTGTGTGCGTGCGTCCGTGTGTCAGTCGTGCGTGGGTGATGTGGGTGCGTGCTTGCGTGCGTGCGTGCGTGCGTGCGTGCATGCGTGCGTGCGTGCGTGCGTGTGTGTGTGTGTGTTTTATGTGTGTGTGTATGTGTGCTTTCCCGGTGTTTTACCTGTGAGTGTGTGTGTGTGTGAAGTTTGGTGTTTTTGTGGGAGCTTGGAGGGGGAGGAGCGGGCCTTGGCGCAACCCTCGGAGTTTTTTCCCAAAAAGTCCTCACCCTGCATCTTACAACTGGTCGGCCATTTTGCAACTCAGGTGGTTCCAAATTAAGTAGGTTGAAGCTGATGGAAGATCTTTGGTGCTTTCTGCTCCATGCATGCCGAAGATGGTGAGAAAGCACCCGTTGCATGCAATTCTGTCAATTGAAAATTTCAAGGGGACAAGGCGGATAAGGCGGACATGTTTGTTTCCAACAATTGGAAAGCCCTTTTGTTTTCCCGTTGCACAATATCCAAACGGTCATTGCGGCTGTTAAGAGCACACATCACTTCAGCCTTTCCGATGCAAACAAAAACACATCTGCCAAGCTGGAGGGGTCCATGTCACGTTTGAAACACGATTATGCGTGCCTTGTCAGAGCTTGGTAAAGCTGCGAGAAACACTGAGAGAAAAAATGGAAGCACCCCCGATTTGGAAGTCACAATGGTCTGCTGCCATGGAGGTTTCCTTGGTTAAATCCCGGGCAACTATGTCCCCGCCCCAAAAAAATCGTTTCTTACCAAATGGGTGATCCAGCGAGCGAGCGAGCTTGCACCTGTTGGCGCAGCCCACGGGCTTTTGTAGACATGTTCAATGACCTTTTGCTCCCGACACCTTCGCATGAAAGGGGGCCAGGGTCTGGTTCAACACTTCATTCTTGGCCATGGGCTTTTCAAAATCCAAATCTGTTAGCCCCCAGTGAACATCCGATTCAATCCAACCACGAAAATAGGTTCTGAAATGGGTGGTGAATTACCCCAAAATGGGATCCCAAAACGGTTTTGACAACCAGCCATATGGATCCCTCTTTGAGCCGCTCTCGGATCGCCCGAGTGGCACCGCCGTCAGCACCCAGCTGGCCGCGATCGTCAAGGCGGTCGCATTCCTTCGATGGCCGAGGGATTTGCCAGGCGTTGATTGGTGTTGATGAATTCTCCACGTCTGAGAAGGGGTCGGATCCAAAAAGGACTCAGAGACACCTGCGAACATGGCCAACAAAAATCGCTGGGCGCTGGTCGGATCAAAAGGACCTGAATATTCCAGCATTCAGCCATCCCAAGAAATGAATCTTTACTATCAAGGACTTGTATGACTATGAACTTGACCAAACCACCTCCAAACAAGGCCTGGACCAAAACGTCCGGCCCAGTGGGAAGCTGGGAGATCCCCAAAACAACTGAGCAACTGGCAAACTTGACCATCTGCTGTTCCTTTGGGACATGGGGCGGGGGGCACCAAGAACTCCCAGCACAGACTAAAATTAATCTAGTGGTTGATTCCTCTTCCATTCTTTGCAACCCTCGTTCTTTCCAAAAACCGGATCCGTTTCCGGGTTTGGGGGGGGTTTTAGAAAGATGGAAGGATGCCCGGAAAGAGTGGAATTGGAAGCTACCCCTAGAGCTTTGACTTGACCCGGGTAACATGGAGCCGAAATACCTCAGGTAAGCCAAACCACGCCGCGCTCGTTGTGTCCGAGGCGCCCGAGCCACACCCCCAGCAGCGGAGTCGGCCAATGCCAGTAGCATCCCAAGAGCCCGCCCAGTGGCAAGCCCACCACCTCGAAATCGGCGGCACGAGTCGAACGCACATGAACAAATGGACCCACCAATATGTGTTGTTTGGCGTACCCCATGTTTTTGTTTTCAAAAAGGTGGAGACCCCAGGTACATTCATCAAACCCAAAAATATGAAACAGGGTTACCCCTTTTGCAGGACTGCTCAGGGGTACCGAGTCGGGGACAACGTCATCAACATGCGATGAGCAGACGTGGTTGCCGTTCAGAAGTATTCCGTCTCCAGGACATGCTAACGCTTGCCCTGGTCAATGGGCCGGAGTATGTCGAGTTGACTACCAACAGCCGCAGGTGCATCTCAAGCCACCATTCAACAGGCCCCGAGATTCCAAACAACTTTTGCCACTTGCACGCAATAGCCACCCACCACGGCTGCAGCTCAGTTAGCCCTATTCGAAATGTGGCCAAATAAGTGCACATAATTAACATCTCAGCAGTCTGGGCCCTAATTTCTCGCCTCCGTTTGCTGCACATGAGACTGATCGTTGCACGTAAAGTGTCAAGAGACGGCAAGGTGACGTCCCGTGGGACGCTGTGCACCGAACCCTCAAGCTTCAATACCAACCACGTAGAAAGGTGTATACGGACGATGCCGTTATAGCCGAACCCGTGTAAACGTTGTAAGGAAGAAGGAATGATAGTTACACCAGTAGTCCTGACAATGCAGCGCAAGCAGTTGTTTTGCTCTTATCGCCCGTCACGAATGTTCGCAGTCACACATCAGATCTTGAACCTCAATTGTGTCTTGAGCCAAATGGCGATCAATGGAACTTGGGAAGCAACACCAACAAGGACCTCAGAACAGCTACCCAATTTCGGCACGGGGCCTAGAGGGTTTTAACATCCCCCATTTGGGTCGCATTGTTCATCATGCGGTCCAAACACCACAAAACGTTCCACTGGCCACGGCTTCAACTACGAAATCGTGTCGTGCATTCTTTTACATGCTATCACTACACCGTTCATTCGCTGTGAAACATGCCGGGTTCGATTGTACGAAAAGTGAAACATTCATCCTCCAATCGAAGCACACATCCATATGCAGGTGTATATAATACACTGTGGCCACTTCACTTGACCGCCAGTGAACATTCCAGCTGCCGCATTTGCGCATCGCGCAGCTGTCATCCATAAATGGGTTGGCCACAAATGTCCACCATGCGCGCCCGCTTGTGATCGGTCTGCATATCTCCGGCAAAGAAACATCGGTGAGTAATCAATGCAAATCATAGCCATTCCAGATACCATGGATAATGCATAAATAATGAAAAGATATCATCTATAAGGTAATAGTTCCATCCATGAATATCCAGAGCGTCATAGTCGTCGGAATATGTAACCATGTACACATCCAATCATCTTGGACACATGAATATAAATCATGACGTAAGTCGTTCCACCATAACAGTGTCGATGTGACGCAAGTAACAGATGGGGACTGGCCCACATCGTACCGCAATCATCATCTTCACGAAGCATACCTGTCCCCAATGGACAGCCTATGGGTACGTCGGCGGAACTCCTCGTCCAAGTTCTTCTGGGCTTCTCGTGCCCGGACACACTTCTTGTTGTAGTCCTCTGGCAACCAGTGCCCTTTCCGAAGGCACCAATCCAGCAGGGGTGTGTCGCATTTGTTCGGGTCGATGGCCGAGATGATGGCGCTCACGTTGACCGCGTAACCATGCTTGCCAAGGTTTAGGCCATCCCTCACGAATGATATATACTTGCAGTTGAAAGCTAGTGCAAAACATCTGAAAATAATATCACCCACCGGGTGCACTCGGTCCTTGACCAGGAGCTTCATTTCTTCCTTGGTGACATCGAGGATTCTCGCTGCAATCCACAGCTTGTAGAATGTGTAAAGTCCCTCGCATTTGCACACCATCATACGAATATATTCGTCACGCTCCTCAACCGATCGGAAGGCTCTTGTCCGAACATTCTCCGATTGAGAAATCTTCGTTATTGTTGATGGCAAAAGTATACCTTCCTGATCGTGCTCAGTGATGTTGGGGTACCTCCTGAAATCATTGTGATAAGGGCAGCCCGGATTCCCTTCGAGTCCGGCATTCATCGTTCTCTCCTCACCACCTTCAAACATCCCCCACATCTTGGACAGCTGGAGTGCGATAAATCCTGCCATGTACTGAGCCTCACGCGGCTCGTCAAGGCAGATCGCCATCCGTTGGGAACTTATAATGTCCCGTGACGTCAGATCGGTGTCGCGGTAATGCCAACCGCCGTCTTCTTCTTCTGACGCATAGCCGGATGTATATCCTTGCGTGTCCATGTCGTCATCTTCTCCCGGAACTTCCTCCGCTTCGTCTTCATCCTCCTGTGCTGCCGCATCGTGGTTAGCTTCTTCCTGTGCACGCCTGGCATCTCCAGAGACGTTGGGGTTTTGGTTGTCCTCCTCGTCATCGGATTTGATGTGAATGTAGTATCTTCCGATGGAGATCAGTTGTGCCTCGCACTCCAGGCATAAGCAGAAGCAGGTGGGGATCGCGGTCGCACATGATGGACATATCCGGCACCTCAGTCCTTCCCATGTCTCATCATTCAGGATGACGACTTTGCTGACTTCGTCCCGGACCTCGTTGACCTGTGCGTTGAACTCTTCCATCTTGTTGTTTCGATAGAGTTCGCAAGCACGATTAACCATGTCAACGATGTAGTGCAGATTATCGGCACCTGTCTCAGTCTCCGGCATCCTCTCGCTGATCTTTGCGACGTTCTGGAGGAACATCGCAGCCGACTCTTGGGAAGAGTTGACAAAGCCAGGGCAGATCTCGTTCTCCACACACTTCGAGTACGCCCTCTTGATGTCAGCGTACTCCAGGCGCTTCCCTCCATTGCTTTTGCCAATCCAAATGGACTTGACCTCATAGAACGGGATCACGTCAAAGACCATGAAAGTCCCATTAGCCGCGACTCCAGCTCCATACCGCGCGAGGGTTGCACTGGGAATGTAGATGATCGCAATCGGATCCCCTCTCCTCACGTTCCGCAGCGTCGTCTTCGTCGCCACGTTCATCTCATCCCATGGAGCAAACGCTCCGAAGTGCAGCGCCAGCCTGTTGCCGCCATCGATTCCGCCGGGGACTAGCCCACAGCGTACGATGCTTGGCAGGTTTTCCACATACGTCACATGGAATGCTCCTCCGAGAGTATCACCCATTCTTGCGGAATACCTATTCGCCAGTGCGGATGAGCTCATGAATCCAAAATCACTGTGACCGGTTGTGACTCGGATGCACCAAGGTCTGTACCATCCATCGCATCTGTTGAACATCCTGTCGATGTCGTCCCGATCCACGCCAGCCTTGGTCATTTCCTCCCTGGCTGCCCTCGTGTCGTTCGGGTTCATGATGCTCGGAAACCTTGCTGCCAGAACCTGGAATCTCGATTTCTTGCTTCCGGATTCCTGCCACTTGATCACCTCCATGATGCCCATGTATCGTTTCGCTCTCGTGGTGTATGGTGGGAATATGTCGTTGTTCCGGTCGTCAATGACAGCATCAATGTCGACCCATCCACCCTCGTCGCACCTGAAAGCACTTCCTCGGCAATTGCCGATCTTGTGTCGAAGGACTCTGCATAGGTCGTGAGATAGCTGGTTTGCTTGGTCCCTTGTAGTAAATACCGAGCGATCATCACCAATCCTGCATAGTGGAGCACCGTCGAAAGGAGCAATGCAGAAGTTGACACTCTTGCCAAGTTGCATCACGTCCACTTGCTCAAGGATTGCACCTCTGGGAAAGTACCTGGGGTCAACAATAGACGCGTATGCCCGTGGCATATGCACATCAATCATGTCGCCGTACTTCGGGATGTAGCACGGGATGGTGTCGCATCCCATCTCAAGCGTCTTCTTGAATGTCCTGCTGTCCCCGCACGGGTTGTATGTGAGGTCGACGCCACCACATTGTAGCTCTCCTCCCTCAGCCGTGTCAGCCATCTCCACCAAATTAATAGTGTAGCTGTACATCTCAATTGTTTCTTTCCCTGCTTGTCCCCCTTTCTTTCTTTCCTTGGACGTTGATGAGGACGGTTCCTCCGTATCCCCCATGTCTTCATCAGATGAAACAGGGTCACTGCTGAGTAGCTCACGGAGCACCTTCATCGCCTTCTCATTTCCAGCAGCCTCCTCAATGTCCTTGCAGTCGCCGTCGTGGGCCAGGTTCGCGCACTTCTTACAGATCCCCATATCTCCCATGCACTTCTCCATTGACTCCAGGAATCCTAGTGCCGCTCTCCGCCCGTCGATCACACGCTGCTTCTTGTCTTCCTTCTCAGTATTGGTCTGAGAGCTTCGACTCGGGTCTGGTGCTTGACCAAGACCCTCATCTTCGCCCTCCGTGGCCTTTCTCTTGGACCCTTGTGCAGAGGGCTCGGTGATCAGGGATCGTGGATGTCTGGGCTTGACCTTGTTCATGATGTCAAGCACCTCCTTCGTGGGCACGCCGAGCTGTGCGGACGGTTTGTTCCGCTTTCTGTTCTGGCCCGTCGTGTGGGTCACGTTCCCAGCGAGGTGTCGCACTATTGACTGCTCGAACTCCCTCTTGATCTTCCATGCATCCTTCCACAGTGGCAGTTCGTGCTGGAAGTACGACATCACCTCAAAGAATCCCAACACCATCTCGACGACGTCTCCCAAGGATTCCTCGTTCGTGGTTTGTCCCAGGAGTTCATACATCGTTCCTTGGTCGAGCACACTCTTGATCCATGACGAATATGCCACATTGCCGAGATCCTTGCCTATCAAGAAGATGGACATCCTCTCCTCGACTCCCTCGGAATTCTTGCACACGATCACATCCCGGGATGCGCACAATTGCTTCCCGTGACCGTTGTTGTAGAACTGCGCTGCTTGATCCACAGTCATGCTCACGAATCCCGCGTGAGAAAGCTCTTTCTTCAGCTTTGAATACGCGAGCTCCCGTATGATCGTGATCATGGCCTGGATATTGTTGACGTCCACCAT